TCCTTCACGTGAACAACGCCGAGAAGCTTCCGCACAGCGCCCGTAAGCCTAAAGTGGACGCCGACTGCAAACTCATGGAATGCATGCAGAAGTTCACTGACCATCACTTGCCTAAGAATCCCATTTTCCTGATTACCGGAGACATAGACTTCGCGCCCGCCATCCGATCGGCCAAACGCCGAGGATTTCAAGTAATTCTGTTGTTCGGAAACAACACATCCGAAGACTTAAAGAACTCGGCCTCAGAATCGCACTCTTATCACGACATCATCAGCACTGCTGACAGAGAGCCGCGCATTAATGTCGACCTCATTAATAGTCTTCGGATGCCATCAACGGTCACCTCTAATCCTAAAGTTCCTAATTTAATGGACACTCAGTTGACAGAATTGGCATCAAATCTATCATCCATTCCAACTGTGGTTCCAAACGCCAAACCAATTGTTCATCAGTTGAACAACGAAGACAAGTCTAGATGTCCACCGATAGCACAACAACGGACTGAAAACAAAAGTCACCCCCAATTCGATGACAACAAATTGAAGACTATTCAGGAAGTGACAGGAGTTGAGCGACACATCGCCCTAAGAGTTCTGGATGTGTGTAATGGGGACATCAATCTGGCCATCAATTCACTGATCAAGGATTAGACAGTGATTACCATTTCATACAAATATCATAATAGAGATACACTGTATATTCAGATTTGTTTAATTGTTTCGTTGTTTCATTCAGTTTCTAATCAAACTTTTATAAACCAAATATATTTTTGTGTCTATTTTTCAATCAATAAAATGAATTCAAATGTTGAATGAGATTGAAGTGGATTTGCATTGAATTGAGTGCAGAATCCGATGACATTGAGTGCAGTGAAGAGCAGTCAAAGTGAGCGCTCATTCACTTGACGTCACAGTAGTGTTGAGTCAACACAACAACACATGTGAGAGAAACGTGCGAAGGATTGCAGCCATGGATTCAATGGATTCAATGGATTTGGTGGCCATTCCCAGGTTTATGGGACACAACACCGATGCTCATGATCAACACCTCACCACCATGAACACACAGACCACTCATCTACTCTCCAAACTCATTGCCGAGTCTAAGACACGCAAGAAATTGAGACTCAGTTCACAGTTGGATCAGTCAAGTGATGCAAATGTGTTGAAAAGTGATGGCATTACCAACGATGAAGCCTCCGGTGAAGACATTGCTGAACCAAATGAAGGAACACATGAAGACAATTCTGAAGAGGCAGAAGAAGACAAACAAAATGAAGACATCGACGAAGAGATGTCTGAAGACATGTCGGAAGTGGTGGACACAGAATTGGATTCAAATAACTTTGCAATCATTGGTGAAGTGAAGAAAGCAAAGATAATAAAATTGGAGACAATTACAGACAAATGGATTACAAAACCCGTAATCTTTGAGCGCGACATCAAAAACAGCAAAAATTTGGATGAATTCTCGGATGTGATCGACGAACAGATGATGGATCTGTTGTCGAAGAACCGAATCAATCGCTTATTCCCAGTCCAACAGCAAGTGATACCATATTTAGTGAAGTGTTTGAATAACTCACATATAATTCGTCCGAAAGACGTTTGTGTCTGTTCTCCGACCGGTTCCGGAAAGACATTGTCTTTTGTGATACCAATTGTTCAGTACCTCCGCAAAAGAGTTGTCACAAAAGTGAGAGTTTTAGTGGTTTTGCCGGTTAGAGATCTGGCGGTACAAGTGTTTCAAGTGTTTCACACATACTGTCAGAAGACGTCACTGAAAGTGGGTTTAGTTGTCGGACACAAATCGTTTGACGAGGAATGCCATTCCATCGTCAGAAAGAGTGTCGATGGACTCAACTATCATAGTTTGGTCGACATATTGGTCGCAACGCCCGGAAAGTTAGTTGATTTGATCCAAAGAGCAGATGGTTTTAGTTTAAGACATTTAGAGATATTAGTTTTGGACGAATCCGACCGAATGGTCAGTGAATTGCAGTTCAATTGGTTGCAAGAAATTGAGTCTTCAGTGTTTGGCAATAATCGCAAACATCACTGCTTTTGCTCTATTGATGGCACAGATAATGATTCCCAACTAAACAGATATCATGTGTCCAACGAGTGCTGTTGTCTTAATAATCGTTCCGTTAATTCCAAACCAATCCATAAGATCTTATTCTCGGCCACACTTTCAACGGATCCCGAAAAACTCAAATTTATATCACTTTTCGAACCAATCCTTTTTATGGTCTCATCTGATCCCACGAGTAGTACTTCAGGGAATACTTCGAACCCAACAAAACATTTAGTTCCTGAAGAGTTGAAAGAGTTTATGATAATTGCAAAGGAAGATAGAAAGCCATTAATTGTATGGTATTTGATGGAAGTGTTGAAATATAGGAAAGTGTTGTGTTTCACGGGTTCTGTTGAGAACAGTCATCGCCTGTATTCACTGCTCAAAGAGATGTCGGGGTTAGTGATCGCAGAGTTCTCATCGAAACTTTCGGCCAAAAGACGCGAAAAACTCTTAAATCGATTTGTTTGCGAGAAAATCGATCTCATTATCTGCTCAGATATATTCGCGCGTGGATTAGACATCGATGGTATCAATTATGTCATATGTTATGATCCGCCACGAAATGAGACCCAATATATCCATAGAGTGGGCCGAACGGCCAGAGCCGGCAATCAGGGAACGGCTATCACTTTAGTAACGCCAACACAATTAAGTCATTTTAATATCATTTCGCGAAGAATTCACAAACGAAGTGATTGTAAAGATAAGAGTGAATTACAGATCGAGAAAATGGTTGTCAAAGAATCGCAACTAAAGCCACAATTGAGTAAATATAAGAGCGCTTTGAATAAACTCTCGCTTTATATCAAAGTCGACGCAAAGAAGAAGCAGATTATGAAAAGAAATTTCAAACATTGATTCAAACATTGATTCAAACATTGAAATAATTATAAAAATATTTAATAATTGGCTAAAATTAAATATACAAATCATAACATTATTTTGTTTTACAATTTCTCAATAAATAAAACGAAAGCTTATTTCTTATGTCAAAACGTGTTTATAAGTTATGATTTTGAAAACCAGAACAAAATATAATTAGATTTAAGATTTAATTTATAAAATAAGTGCTAAAATTGTTTAATTAGAACTCGAATTGACGGCTAATTTCTTCAAGTGCTCCATAAATACTTGAAGCGAGACATCATCGGTGAGTACAGGCGCTGAAGCGCCGGCGTTGGGGTCGCCGTAGTAGCCGATTGTGGTGTTGTGTGTGAGGGAGGGGTTGACTTTGGAGAGCAGGAAGCGGGCCTGACTGGAGCCCTGATCGCACACTATATATCGCGGTAATGGGAACCGTGTGATCATCAGGTCGTTGGCATCGTTGATGGGCGCCTCCAGCAGTTGTCCGAACGCCTCATAACCCGGCTGTTTGTCATAACCGGCTTTCTTCCACTGGGCTATAGTCTCGCCGCGGAATATAACGATGTGGAAGAAGGTGTCCATCAGTAGTATGCGCTCCGGTTGTATGGATGACGTGTCCAACAGTACCGCTTGTGTGGGTTCATTGAAACTGTAGGCCAGGAGTGTCGGCTGAATCATAACCAGAGAGTTATAGCAGTCTTCGCGGAATAGCGAGTGTCTGTAAAACGACGTCTCGTCCGGACTGTTGTTAAAGACTTGTATGAATTGAGAGCGCCTTAAGTGAAACATAAACTGCGGAAACATCGAGTAATTGGG